TTGTGTGTGTGTGTGTGTGTGTGTGTGTGTGTGCCTGGCAGTGTGCGTGTGTGCGCACTGCAATCAGCGGAGCCGCAGGCCTCCTGGCCCCTGGGTCAGTACTTCATTGACATTTCCAAAAATACTGAATATTGAAAACTTCCTAAGCAAATACTCTCAAGGTTTTATTATTATTATTATTTGCATAACTAATTCACTTCATTGTACTAATGGGGTGGTCATAATAATCTGGCCACTCAGTGTAAATGCCTTGGCAATCAAGGCTTAAGTTAGGCACTTGCATTAACAAAAGAAGACAAAAAAAATCAATTGTCAGGGTTTAAATATACCTACCATGAGTCAGGTTCTAAGTAGTACCTATTAAGGGACACAGTATTGGTAAAGTTCTGAAAAGTTTCAAAATACTAAAAGTTTTAAACAATTGGCATAATACAAATTAATGTGTATTTACTCATGAAAGCCCTTTTCTTGGATCCTAGAATGAAGAAGCCAAATGACCCACAGAGCCACAGCCATCTCTCAGCCCACATGTTACGTTAGTGAGAAATAAACCTTTGTTTCTGTAAACCACTGAGCTTTTGGGGTCGTCTGTTACCACAGCTTAACTAGGGAAAGCTAACCAATACAGCAGCCATATTTTTCATTATGAAAACTAGAGAAAGATAAAAAGCTATTTCCATTAAGGGTTATTTAATGAAGTTCTTGTACAAACACTATTGACAACTTGAGAAATAATGAGACAAAAACTAGCTGTAAGAGCCATTGAGAAAACAAAACACTACAACACAGGGGTAGTCTGGAAGGTTATAAAGAAAACGTTCCCTGACCGGTTTGACTCAGCGTATAGTGTCGGCCTGCGGACTGGAGGGTCCCAGGTTCGATTCCAGTCAAGGGCATGTTCCTTGGTTGTGGGCACATCCTCATTGATGTTTCTAACCCTCTATCCCTCTCTGTAAAAAATCAATAAAATATATATATTTTTAAAAAAGAAGACGTGATGCCTGAATGGCATCTACTATAGACTTCGAAGATTAATATTTTTATATATCCAAAGTAAACCAGACAACGATTTATGTCAAGTTTTACATTTCACAAAGCAATTTTACAATCACCTCAATGTACAGATTAGGAACCAGAGGCCCAAGATAGTACAGGGACCTGGACTCCCAGGTTCTTTGATTCCATAGACTCTTCTTTCTCCCACATCACGCTTGATAATTAATGCAAACCAGTTTTTAATCAGGATAAAATTTGGGGTGGAAAGGCCCGGATAATCCTGACAAGCATAACAGCCCCACCTACCCAGCGCCCCCAGAAGACATCCTCACCCATTCACCCACATCGCCGCCCACCACCGAAGCGCGGGGGTGGAGGGCGACAGGAGCCTACGTCAGCGGCGCGCTTCCCCTCCTCCATTCTTGTCCTCCACCCTTCCCGAAAGGCCAAGCGGCCGGCAGAGGAACCCAGAGGCGGACCAACCTGATTGGGCTGTCCTGCGACACGTGACCCTCACAAGTACTGGGATTTGGCTAGGCGCAGCCGGAAGCGCCCCGCAAAAGAGGGGTTTGCTTTGGGGGGGAGGGGCGCTAGGAGCCTGGGGGCGGAGCTTGAGCGCTAGCCGCGGCCCCAGTTCTGCCGGCCGT